ATCTATCTATCTATCTATCTATCTATCTATCTATCTATCTATCTATCTATCTATCTATCTATCTATCTATCTATCTATCTATCTATCAAAATTCTTACTGTCCAGTCGTAGTACACGTGCAACACTCACACACACAAATTTAAGGGTTTTACTGTAAGATTCTGAAGTATCTTTGAAAAACTCCAGAAAAATCACACCGAAATGATTTAACTCCTAAATGCATGATCATCTTTGAAAATATGATGGATAATATTAAATAAAAAGGCCATATAGCCATTAAAACAATCTCATCCTCCACCAGCTGTAACAAATACTGTTTATTCATTCATTCATAACTATAAAAATATGATAGAATAAACTAAGTGATTTTAAAAAATATATATTTTAAATATATTTTGCTGCCAGTCTCTGCTTTTTCTTAGTGAAAGTGTCATTTCATCATGAGCCTTTATCTATATTGGAAGACTTCTTAATAAAGGTTTGTTACTTCTGCTCTATTAATGAAAAGGACTTTTCTACTGCTCCTCTGGCTACAGTGAATAGGTTGAGTGTAAGAGTGTGTGTCAGCGTGACTGGGAGCAGCAGGAAGCTGAGAGGTGAAACCTGAGTGTGGAAGAGAGGCTGGATGTGGAGGGGGGTGGATGGGATGAATCGGGGAGAAGGGATGCAGGGTTGAGGAGTGCGGTGAGCCGGTGGGTGAGTGGTGATGGTGGTGGTGGTAGGGGCACTCTGGGAATGACTTGCCGCATATGTTTATTTAGCTTTCTGCACGGTCAACGGAGAACGAGTTCAGAGCGAGGTGAAACGGAAAGGTGTGTGTGTGTGTGTATGTGTGGAAAGAGAGAGAGAATGTGAAGAGGATGTCTGTGCTCAAACAACTGGAGTGTAAAAAACGCAGGGCTGTGAGAGGAGATGCTGGAACAAATAAGTTCAACTTTTTCAGCTCGCCATTGTCAGTTTGGCCCCGATACAGTCTGCCCCCCCCTCGCCCACACACACACACACACACACACACACACACACACACACACACACACACACTCACACACACACTACCAACTGTGTGTGACACTTTTAAAAAAGAGTTCAATGTTGAAAATGATGTGCAGTTATATGGCACTATCATTTTTTATGATGTTGATTTTTTCATGTAAAAATGCAAAAATACAAAAGCTGTTATTTCCCCCTCTTTTTAACCTTTACTTAACCATGAAAAAATTGAGCTCTTGAGATCAAAAATCTCTTTTACAAGAGTGTCCTGGCCAAAGAAGGACAGCAGTGCAACCATAAGTTGCATAAATAAATATTGCATGCAGATATAAATCCATACACCAGTTAAATATGTTTCTGTGTGTGTCAGGTGTTCACTCTCCTCTGTCACTTTGTGCTTCTTTATCGTGCTTCTTCTCATTGTTGTCATATTGTGACTGTGCCAGAGTGCAGAAATGATTCTGAATGAATGTTTTCACACCACAGTGTGAGTACGTCAAATGACAGCATATTTCATCATTTTTATTATTGCACAAAGGTAATTGCTGAATGCTAAATATCAAAGAACTGGACAACATCTACATTATTAACATTATTAACCTTTATTAACAACCTTTATTACAGTTTTTCCCGCTATGAGATGAAGAAACAATTCAAGATTAGAAAAAATATTTA